TATCTCTCAGCTCTTTCCCCCTAGTTTGTGGACACTATTTTCTACCATAAAATAAATACAATCGCATCTCTAATTACACTCTGATTTGACCCAGCTCTTTCTTCAGTACCTTTGTCAAGTGCCAAAACAGCAGAAACTTTCTTAAATGACCATCTGACACTCATAGGATTTTTAACATTTTGGAGAACGATTCAATGCGTTAGTAAAATTTGTTGTTGCAAAGTTCTTCCTTTTAAGGGTACTTGGAAATAACGTGGTTTAAAAAAAAAATGTAGAAAGTGTCCCAGAATGGTTTACAGAATGACAGATTTGGATTATGCTTAGGAGATTTCAAAGGAACTGGTTGGAAGTTTAATTTCTGGTTATCACTCCATAGTTTACAAGGCCCCACTGGACTGAATCCTTCAGGGTGAGACCCTGGCCTCCATGGTCTAAATGACCCAGCCTGTTTGCAAAGTGCCCTGTGTATACTGGCTACTCAGTAAATACTCTGATGATTTTTCCTGCCAAATTGATCCCAGTTTTAAAGAATTAAATCCTATGTGAGTGATTTGCACTCACAGCTTCAGAGGCAGTAATTCGGAGCACAGGCTTCATAACTAGACTGCCTGCGCCTGGACCCGGCCTCCATCACGTCCTAGCTGTGCGAGCTTGGCCAGTTTGCCTCACTTCTCCATCCCGCTCCCCTCCCCCGCCATTTCCCCCCTCTGAAACGAGGATGATATAACCTCCCCACTGAAGGCTTAAATGAGCTAAGTAAGACAAGTGCCTAGGGCCGTATCTAGGACACAACAAAAGCTCAATAAATATTAGCCGTCGGGGTTTAGCCTCCCCAGAAAAGATGCTACACAATTTGCTTAGGGAGGCCCTGGCAGGGAGCATCCAAGAGCATTCCGATACATGTTAAATTCCTATCAGAGAAGGTAAAATTTCAAACGAATATTGCTGAGCACTAAAAGCAAGTTCACTGATACAACCTGTGAGCCTGGATGGCCAAGCTCTCCTGGGTAACCTTGTTCGCCGGATTCTCCACGCATACCCTGTCGAAAGGAAGAAAACTCAGTGAGTTCTCCAGGCATCTTCAGTGTTCCTGTTGAAGGCAGCCTTCCCTGCAAGAGGTCACTTGAAAGCCACAAGAGAAAGGCAAAATGATCTGAAGGTCTGCACTCAGTCCTCTTAGGACACAGAATCAGGGAGGAGGTGGGGGAGGGGGTCCCACTTATTTGCTTAGGAAATTCTTATTGTCTTTTCCAGTCTCCTTCCAAACAGCTAGTTGTTTAAATATAAAAGCACTTTGTTTAAATAACCCAAACTCCTAATTTACATAAAAACAGTTCCTAAAAGCCCATCCATCCCTCTTAAGGGCTAGATGGTCCCTGGTGTTATGGACCTTTAACCCCTGTGAGGAAACTCAGAATGTCGAGCACAGCAGCAAGTATGGCATTTGGGGACAAAGGCACACACAGCACACAAAGAAATAGCAGAAAACTGGCTTTAAAACCCTACAGATTCTTACAGCACTGAGCTGGCTCTCTAGGCACAGGGTGAGCTATTAAAATAATTCATCTGGTAACTGATTTAATTCCTCCCTCAAATTAATATTCCCATTTCTACAGAGAAGATACATATTCCAATATTGTCCTCAATACCCGTTTTGTGGCCAGTGCTGCCTTCTTTTTCACACTGCTCACTGTTGACGGGGTAACTGATTAGTCATAGATTTGCAAAGACAAGAAACCCTAAGCTCAGAACGAAGCAATACGTGGATCAATGCCTTGTGCTTCTTAAGTTTTTTAAACCATTCAGATAAATGGGAAGCTCTTCTACTAATCATTCCTGTTAAGTTGTTGTATTCCTCAAGAGTTGATTTCTAGATTCGTGTGAGTCACGTCTTAAAAGGCATGTAGCTAGACATTTTGAAATTGTTTGGAAGATGTGGGCCAATTTGCTCATCACATTCGTGACATTTGTAGTACAACAGATTGGAAAATGATGCGGCTCTGTACAGCAAAGGTCAGACTTTCACATTTATACTAGGGAAATCATTACAGCAAAGAAAAGCAAGAACAAAACAAAAGCCCTGTAATACAGCTTCTTCTTTTCATCCCTGTCATATTTAAACAAATAGAAATTATCTAAATGTTCAACATTAGAATGGTTTAGTAAATCACTGTTCTTCAACAGAGTAGGATATTATGCATTAAAGTGATACTAGTAAGATTTGGAAACATAGAAAAGCAGAATATAAAATAGTATATACATTAAAAACAGCTCTTTATTATGTATGCAAATAAAGGAAACATACAAACAGGAAAATAATTGCAGGAGGGCGGTGGGTTTGTGCACATTTAAAAAATTAATGATATTCTTAATTTTATCTTAAGTAACAAAAAGTTTTCCCTTATTGCCAAATAATCTGTGCATTGATTTGTTTGCCATAGTACAATTTTTTCCATAAATAAAATCTTATTTAAAATTTCATTTTATTACGCACCTTGCAAAAGCCAGCACATCTAATTTATACACAATAATGAACCATATTTTCCCAAGGTCAAGGGATACTGTAACCTGGAGTTCAGCACCTCTTTAAGCCACATTTTCCCAATAATACTGACTGATCTTTAGCAAGTTACAGCCTCAAAACATAAATGAGTCCTATGACCACGGCTCCAACACTGGGTTAACTAGCAAATCACTGACTTGTTGGATAAACCTAGTTCACCCTGGAACCTGCAAGTAGTTATAAATTTTCCTCTTATTAAAAACTCAAACTTGAATAGAAACAAGAGCAAACAACTACAGTGATTCTTGAAAAGAGCAAAAAGGACAGGGATTCATCAAGATTATGATGCATTAAAGGGAGAGATTTTCTATTAAAGATGGCCGTGGTCACACATTTTTCCCAGCTCCCAAAATGAAAGATTGTTGTTCAAAGTCTATCCCCAGAAGACAACAGCGCAGAGGCCCAGAGAGCAATCAGCCCGGATTAGAGCAGGAGGACAGAGGGCTCAGGAAGGAGGAATCTAAGAAAAATAAACCTCCCATGTTAGAATATATTGGGAGGTTAGCAGTTTTGTAGAAAAGCTTTATGATTAACCAGTAATAGGCACCTGGGGAGAGAGGGTGACTCAAGGAACACAAAAGTGACGGATAAATATCACTTACAGCCATTTGCAATGTTTATCAGTCATCATCTGAGTGATGAATTGATTTGACCAAAAGTAGAGAAAATAAGTGTATTATAAGGATGAGTTGAGGGGAAGTGTACGGAAGAGATGGACAGGTTAAGAAAAATCTTTGTTCGCCATTAGAAGAATTCAATAGAAAAACATTCAAAATGGAAAACAAAGAAATAGCAAAGTAAGCAATCTGACTTTAAATTTACGCACAGGCTGAGCTCTGGTTCAAATTAAATAAAAAGGAAAGACATAGGAGACAGAGTTCAGTTTAGCAAACCAAAAATAACCAAGACCCAACTGGGCAGAGGACCCACTGCCGATGGCTAGTTAGATAAACCACACACAGGATCACAAAAATATTAAATAATTCAAGAGTAGGAAATTCTTTCCACTGAGCCATTTAATTTCTCCAGAACTTAGCCTAGTCAAGTTGTAGTCTATTTCTTTCTGCCTTCTGGGGGCTAAAAACAATAGGCTAAAATGATAGTTCAAGACATTATTTCGCAAATGTTCAAACTGAATTAAAAGCATAAGAATCTATTTCAAGCCTCAACATTTTATGAGAAGTCATATGTTACTTGGTGTCAACAAAGCTTGCTTGCATTTTTGAGACTTGAAATTTCTCAATAGCCATGCTTTTCCAACATGTTTAGTTTAAAGACACAGGAGTCTCACCTTCTTTTGTGCTGAGGAGGTCACTGCCCACTCATCACACGCACAGACATACACTCAGCCATTCCCAGGCTCAGAGATGACATAAGTCAGTCTCTGACCTCTCCTCCATCCCTAAATCCTGAGAATGCTAGGAGGAAAAAAATACCAGCAGAGCAGGACCAGACCACATTAGAGAGGAGTCCACATAACTCTCGTTTTGAACAAAAATTTCCAAGAGCATCTTGATCTTTGGATTTGAATCCTGTCTCCACCACTTACTTATTAGCTATGTGGTCTCTGACAACTAACTTCACTTTGCTAAACCTTTATTTTCTCCCTTATCCATAAAAAGTTACCAATGATGCTCATAACTCCTGGGGTTGTAGAAAGGTTACATGAGGTCATATAAATAAAGTACTAGACAAATGCTTTGTAAAATATGATTCCCCTTCAGAGATGCCCCACCCCACCCTCAGATAACACCCACCAACCCTTCTTCGGAAATTGTAACCGCTCGGTCTTTTCTCTTTATTTAGTGACTATGAGACCCCCTTATGTACCTGTAGTAAGTCCCACTTCTTTAAATGAAAAAAATCACTATTTCAGAGGTAAAAGCAATTCTTTAAGATGTTAGCTTATTTTCAATCTAGATGAACTGTTACAGCAGGTTGGGGAGGGAGCAGAGAGGAACGATATAAACTTTCCCTTCTCCATGGAAACCTCTCAGGGATCACGCAGCCTCCATCAGCCCAACCAACACCTGCCTTGACCCCAGACAGAACTATTTACAGAAGCCATATGTGTGCAATAAGAAGTGACTCTTTCCAGAAAACACTGACCTTCAATCCTGGCAGACCTTGTCTTCCTCTTGGACCCTAAGGATAGAAGGAAAGTGGAGACCTTAGAGAAAGAAACAAGCCAGTTTTCACCCCAGCCTCTCTCTCTCTCCCACAAAAGCAGATGAAATACATCCAACAAGTGGCTATACCTACCTGAGGGCCAACACTTCCAGTTCCCCCGTGAGGTCCATCAATGTTAGAACTTCCCTGACAAGAAAGAGGTAAAGAGATCGGTTTAGATGTCCACACACTTCTGGGTTTACCCTCTAGATATGGGCTGTCCCACACAGAAACCACTAACTAGCCCCATGTGGCTCTTAAGTTTAAATTAATCTAAAGTAAGTTAAATTTAAAATTTAGTTCCTTAGTTATAATAGGTACATTTCAAGTGTTCAATAACCACAGGTGGCTGGTGGCTACCATATTGGACAGCACAGATACAGAACAGTTCTGTGATCTAGAAAATTCTGTTGGTCAGCATTCCTCTAGAAGCAAATGGATTTAATTTGGTGTTCTGAAATATCCACATTGTGGGCATTTTCTCCCCAGATTGTTTGTTTGCTGAACAGTATCCAGCAAGGGTTCACCATGCTGGGACAGTAGTCATACGTACTTGCCAAGAAGCCAGGTTTAATACTTGAAAAATGTGCAAAAGGAAACAGAAAAGTGGTCTCTGCACATGTGGAGTGATGGGTGGACCAGACGGTGCAAGGGGAAGCTATTCAGTCATGATGGGGACACTTCCTAGAGCTCTCATCTCTTTAAGGTCTGAAGTGGGAAAATAAGTGGTGTCCAGAGAAAACCAAACTGAGTCCACATTTCAGGAGAATGGAAAAAAACATCTTGGGTCCCAAATAGGGATATTTTAGATAATTACTCAGTGAAGTTGCATGCTAACTCAGTAAGAATCCGTAAATTGGCAAAGAATATGAAATACAGAAACATACAAAACAGAAACAAATTCGCAGACATAGTAAACAATTTTATGATTAATGGGGGAAAGAAGGTGGGAAGGGATAAATTTGGGAGTTTGAGATTTGCAAAGGTTAACCACCATATATGAAAATAGATTAAAAAACAAGTTTCTGCTGTACAGCACA